TGATCTTTATCTTTATATTCAATGCCTTTTTCTGGAGATGCTTTGATATACTTGAGAATTCGAATAATAGCATTCCAGTGTTCTTGACATGAAGAATTAAGAAACTGACTTACAACACTAACTGCAAATGAAATGTCAGACCGAGTAACTGTGAGGTAGTTCAGTTTTTCAATTAATCTTCTATGCCTTTCAGGATTTGAAAAGGGCTCCCCTGATTTGGTATAAGCTTAACATTTTGATCCATAGGTGCCTCAACAGACTAAGAATTTAACAAGGCAATCTCTTCAAGGATATCCAGAGCATATTTCCTCTGAGATATCACAACACCATCTTTAGATTGGACCACTTCAATTCCCAAGAAATATCGAAATTTCCCAATATCCTTAGTCTGAAACTGATGACATAAATGTTGCTTCAACTGAGTAATCTCATGATTATCACTTCCTATGATGACAATATCATCCACATACACCACCAGGTAGATAGACCTAGAAGCTGAATGATGAAAAAAGAGAGAATGATAAGCCTCACTCCGAGCCATACCGAATTGTTGAACAACACTGCTAAATCTGCCAAACCAAGCTCGTGGAGATTGGTTGAGACCATATAAAGACTTGTGGAGACAACAAACAAGACCTGACTTCCCCCTAAGCAACAAATCCAGGAGGTTGCTCCATATAAACTTCCTCTGCAAGATCACCATGAAGAAAAGCATTTTAACATCGAGTTGATAAAGAGGCCAATGACGTATAGCAGCCATGGCAATAAAAAGGTGAACATAAGACATTTTCGCCACAGGGGAAAAAGTGTCACCATAATCCAGCCCAACACCTGAGTAAAACTCTTGGCCACCAAGCAAGCTTTAAGGTGATCCACCTAACCATCAGGACCAACCTTAACAGCATCAATCCAGCAGTAGCCAACAACAGATTTTCTAGATGAAAAAGGGACCAGATCCCAGGTACCATGGTGATGAAGGGCACTCATTTCATCAATCATAGCTTGTCTCCATCCAAAATGTGAAAGTGCGTCATCTGTAGTCTTCGGAATAGATATAGAAAACAAAGAGGAAAGACATACATAATATGATGGAGAAAGACGATGATAACTAATATTAACTGTATACCTTGCCGGAGGGCGAGTATCACGGGTACCTTTGCGAAGAGCAATGGGAAGGTCACTAGCCGAAGGTGGGACCGAAGCTGAGGGAGGAGATGCAGTCGGATGTGAGCCCACAGAAACATCTGGAGAACCATGTTGTAACTCATCAGGAGAAGAGGTGACGGAAGGAGAGTCAGAAACATGGATTGTAGAGGCGGAAGGTATTCAAAGGTGTCGGTAGGGAGAGATGACTGAATAGAATTAGTGCCCACAGGAGTAGTAGAAGAGCCAAAAAAGGGAGCTGATTCAAAAAAGGAAACATCTGCCAAGATAAAGTATCACGTAAAGTCAGAGAGTAGCAACGGTAACCCTTTTGAGATTGAGGATAACCCAGAAAAACACATTTATGAGACTTAGGAGCTAGTTTATCCAAGCCTGGACCGAGACGATGAACAAAACACATAGAACCAAACACATGCGGGGTCAAAGGATATAAAACTTGATGGGGAAACAAAACAAAGTGAGGAACCTGGTGATGAAGAACAGATGAAGGCATGCAATTAATGAGATAGCATGCAGTGAGAATAGCATCACCCCAGAATTTGTAAGGAACATTGTCATCAATTAACAAAGCACGAGTAGTCTCAACAAGATGGCGGTTCTTGCGCTCGACTACACCATTTTGTTGGGGTGTATGAGGGCAAGATGTTTAATGAAGAATGCCATGAGACGAAAAGAATTGCTGAAACTGATGAGATAAATACTCACATGCATTATCACTACGAAAAGTACAAATAGGAATACCAAACTGAGATTTTATTTCATAATAAAATAACTTAACAACGGAAAATAACTCAGAACGATTTTTCATTAAAAATAACCAAGTACATTTGGAATAATCATTAATAAAAGTAACAAAATACTTAAACCCTAAAGTAGATGGATGACGACTTGGTCCCTAAATATCAGAGTGGACCATAGAAAAAAGGGACAAAACTTGACGACTAAGTCGACTTGAGAACGTACTACGAGTATGTTTCCCAAATTGACAAGACTCACAATTTAAACTAGAAAAAGACAATAAATGTGAAACCATCTTCTGAAGCTTGACAAGACTTGGATGACCCAAACGAGCATGTATAGTGAGAGGAGAATCCACGGTGGAGCAGGCTGAAGAAGAAGAAAACAGTTGATAGAAGCCATGAGACTCACATCCTTTGGTAATCTCCTTCCCTGAACTCAAACCCTGAAAGATGACAGAGGTTTTAGTAAAGGAAACAACACAATCAATGGATTTTGTCAAACAACTAATAGAAAGTAAGTTAAAAGGAGAATCTGGAACATAGAGAACATGATCCAGAGATAAATGAGGTAAAAGAAGAATCGTGCCTATCCCACGGGATTATACCATAGTCCCATTGGCCATAGTAATAATAGGAAATGAACTAGTGGTACAAAGAGAAGTGAATAAGGACTTATTACTAGAAATGTGATCAGAAGCCTCAGAATCAAGAGTCCAAGGGCCTAAAGAGTGTAACTGAGAGATCTCAGCAAAAGAATTACCAATGGGAGCAATGGAGGCAGTAAGACCAGATGCTTGCTTCTCAGACCACCAAATCACGAATTCATTCAGAAGACCGGCAGGAGGTTGCGCAGCGGAAGGTAACCTAGAGCAGGAGCACCAGAGGAAGCCTGAGCAACATGAGCATTCTGAGGAGGTGAGGTGGCTTGCCATGGAGCTTCCAACAATGGTAAACAGTATGATTGGTCTGATGACAATAAGTGCATAGTAGCTTTCCCTTAGAGGGTTTACGTCCACGACCATAACCCTGAGCAGCAAAGGCAGAGGAGTCAACGTTGTCAACTGGAGGTACATGGGTCATATGAGGAGTTGATGTTGTAAAAGGCTTAGATGGAATCCTAAGCAAGGTAGACATCACAGAATCCAGTGTAGGAACTGTAGCAGACACCAAAATTTGATCCCGATTGACAGACAAATGGGAAGGTAAACCATTTAAAATGAACAACATAAAAAGGGTATTACGTTATTCTCGCTCCTTAGTTACATCACCAATAAGGGGCAGAAGTTCATTGAGATCATGAAGCAAACTCGGAGCTTTTCCCAAATACTTAGACATAGGACAATTGAAATCCCGAGGGGCAAAGGTAGTCATCAATTTCTGATGCACACCATAGAGTCGTTGTGTATCATTGGTGTACAATGCCTTTGCCTGACTTCAAATAGCTTCACAGTTATTTGCAGGTCGAAAAATCTGCTTAATTGAAGGATGAAAAGTAGCTTTAATGAGACTGCACAACCGAGCATCAGTTATCTTCCATCGTGTGCGCTCATTATCCGCAATAGAGTCGGCCTTAGTAGTGAGATGTATAATTCTGCCCATCCAACCAAAGTCGCAGATCTGACGACCAAGAATCATAGTTCGACGCATCCAAGTTATCTACACTCAGCGGAGCAAGGATATAATTGGAAAAAATAGAAGATTCCGACTTGGAGCCAGCCGGAGATCCAGAAACAAAGGAGGTAGAAGTAGAATCCATAATACCAAAATATAAAAGCAAAAAACAGAAACGACATATCACAAAACTTACCGGTCATGTTGAACAATACTGACGTATTTTGAATCAGTCTCAAATCAACCAACCAAGACCAAATCAAGCACCGGACTGGGGAGGCAAGTGCAACGGTGAAGACGGCGGCCAGAAAGGAGGTCTCACGCGCCTTCACGCACTGAGAGAAGATGCTACTGTGCAGATTCCATGCAGGGTTCCTTGCCAGCGCGTGAGAGCGCGTGCGGCGGTTGGTGGAGGTGCGGCTTGAATGACGGTGACCGAGCGGGGAAGACAATCTGAACAGTGGTGGTGGTCGGCCAAAACTCGTCGGAAAAAAGGAGACAGAGGAGCAACGCGGTGACTCGGTTGGAAAAGTCGATGAACAGTTCACCGGAATAAAAAACAGATTAGGATTCCTCTCGTTAGACTCTGATACCATGTAAAGAATCAATTCAACCCAAAAGGTTAAGCTGTTAAGTGAAGGCCCATCAATGGTTTATATACTTCTCTAACATGTAAAGAACCAATTCAACCCAAAAGCATAAGCTGTTAAGTGAAAGTTCATCAATGGTTTATATATTTCTTTAACACGCTCCCTCACACGAGAGCCCATTGGGCATGAAGGGTGAATAATACACAGGCTCACCTACTTATGCTAAGAAATTCCATAAAAAAAAGTAGGAGGCTGTGAGAATCGAACCCATGACACTGAGGCTCTAATACCATATTGAATAACAAGAGATGAAAGGAATTGTGATATAATTTGTATATTGAATAGGTACATGTGTGTACAATATATAGAAACCTAATGGGCTTAGCCCAGACTTAACCTAAACACTAATAAGGAAAATTTCCAACAATAACCATCTTCATGTCTTTGTGTTTTAGATCAAACAATTAAAAAACTAAATGTCATTTCAAATAGGGAAAGAGCTCCTCGAAAATGCACAAATCATAGTAACAATGCCCTACTTTCTGCATTGTTAATTCCATTGTGCAGTCACCCCTTCCAGAGGACGAGAAAATATGAATGTTTACTGTTAGTAACCAGCATGAAGAAATTTAGATCAGTTTGATTTGTTTCTGTGGACATATGAAGTATGGTCTTCAATATTTTATATAATTCCTAAAAATTCTTTTAGCTAATTATAGAATCTCATTAGGAGTTTTGAGAGGCAACATAAAGTGAAGCAAGGATAGACATGCATGGCAGTTCAATGATATCTTTTCTCGGTCTGCTATGCCTCCTGTTCTTGTCTACGTCAGGCAATGACAATAAGATAAAAAAGCAAATAGCCTAATGATGCAGAAACATGCTACCATCTAACCTGAGAGCTCCCATTATGGGATACTGGGTTCCTGCATAATAGAGAAGACGAAAGAAGTAGCAACTTTCAAATGATGCTGCATACTTGAGCCTCTGGTCCCGCCCCATTGTCTGGTGATTAAGAAGGCAAAATTATAACCTTACTTTTTCTACAATAAATTGTTATCTTCAACTTGCTGGTTTAGTACTCACTTGCATAATACCACTAGAACCAGGTAAATCCTGAATTCATAAAAATATTGTAGATCAGAATAACATAATAAGGTCCCAGGGAAGACTATGTAAACAAAGATTATCTATGCTACTATGATGACTAACGGCCTGAGTATATTCTGTAATTGTAAGATCTCCTTTCCTAAGGTTAGTCTATTGCGTGTTTCACCACTTTAAAAACTGAGACAGTGTAGAACAGATTAGCAGAAAAGAAGCAAGATATAATTTACTCCATTTGCAAAAATAGATGTTGTCATTTAATACAAAGATTATCCAAATGTGCACTGGATGGTGCTACTTGAGTCCTACACAGCAGTCTGCTAATGAAAATAATTCTTGTCATCTACGAATTGAAACTCAAGATAGCCTAAAAGAGCATGAAATAGCCTCTAATCATGACATTTTCGATCTTTCTTTCAATAATTTTATACATGCAGTCAGCAATTAAAAAGCAGGTGAAAATCATGAAAAATCACCTCTCAGCATGCAATTAAAGATACAAGGCTAGACTATTTGGCAAAGTTTCTATGTATAAACTGGTCATGACTTCCATGTTACAATGTAGCTAGGTAAACCATGCATGACATGAAGTTGACTCAGCACTGAGCTGAGTTCATCAGGTTCAGGTTATATTCATTTCTAAAAGTCATGACAATCTGAAAAAACAACTTGTAAATCATACAACTATTTAATGAAATAAATTTGAACTATGATATAGGAACTAGGAACCAAACCTTAAGCCTTGGATTGATTAGGACAACTGGTCTGTGTTCAGCAGCACTGGTCATGGCTCTTAGATCCTGTATATCCAACCTCAAAGATATTAAAGAGAAAAAGAGAGCAGCTGGGGGGAGTTAAAAAAAACCATGCCAAAATCAATTGAGACAAAAGAAAAGGCTCGGATGATATCTCTAAAATATGTATGTAAAAGTCCCGCTCTATCTTCTTACATCAATAATACAATTCCCTACAGCATTTTGAGGAGCTACCAAGATAAACATGTCATCTTGCTCTTCAACCTCTGCAGCACCTGAGATTGAAAATTCACAAGTTAACGCTATGCCAATATATCACAACCAAAAGGAAAATTATCTTGTGCATAGCAAAAGGGAAAAGTCCATATTATTTCCAATATTAAGTTAGGAAGCAAATATCACAATCAATTAGGATGGCACACATAAATGTGTCGTTTTTTCCCATTTATAGGACATACATATATAATGGCCTGTAGTTAATTTTATTAAATTGTGATAGGTCAGCATTTTTAGTCCTTTTTCCCTATATTTATCTATTTACAAATTCTCTCATATTTTTTCTTTTCCCTCTATATTTTCTAGCTTTTTATTGGGATTCATCGATTGCCAACCCCATCTAGTTCGGGATAAAGGTGATCATGATGTTGATGTGCATGAAGTAAGCATTTAATATAGCAATTGCGAAATGAGGCTTAAAGGTGATTTTCTCACTGTTTCAACCCATATTAGCAAGTTGTTAACTGTCTTGATGTAGCAATAGACAAATGGACGACCAAGCAAATAAATGAAGAAAAGGAAAAAGTTGGATATAGCTGGAATATGGAATACCAAAATCTAAAGGTGTGTAACAAGTAAAAAACAATGGCATTATACCAATAGTTGCAACAGCAGACCCATACAAGTTACAGCTAATTGATATACCTATAGTACCAATATTGATGAAGGTTCCTTTTGCACCATAATCACCCCAATCCATGAACTCTAAAATCTGTCGACTTCCAGCAAGCTGCAATGGCATTCCAGCAAGAGCACCCTCTCCCATTGACCCTTGTACACAAACCTGCATGATGAAGTTGAAGATGCTTAAACAAAAAGAACTACATCTAACATTTACAGAGAAATGGGTTCTGAATTTTTATAGAGAAAGAGCTGAAAAACAGAGAAAATTGAAAGAGGAATGACTCTTCTTTATTGATTTACTGAATCACAAACAAAGAACAAAGGATAAAAACTCCTCCAAGGGTTTCTCCTTACAACTAAGCCACTGCTCTGTTTTTCCAAGCTAACAAAACTGAATACTCTCCCTTCTACCCATCTTCCTATTTAAGCTCAGCCCCTCCTCTTCACTATACCCACCTACTAATTATATAACTTCCTAACTATCTGGCTCCTACCATAGTAGTACCATTTTGATCTCTAGACAGTGAAAATGTTTTATGTTAGAACAAAAGGAGTAAAGAAGATACCTTGACACATTTTCCGTCATCAGCAAATGAAAGCGCAAGAGCTCGAACAAGTTCCATCAAGGTACCTATTCGATAAACATCCTGTATACAAAAATATATGGTCAAATCAACACATTTAGAGAAAATAAAAGAAAAAAAGAAGTCCATACCATTTCCGGATTCAGTTCAGGAATGTTAATATCAACCTGTTTGATTTTGAATGACAAATAAAGCAGATATCAGCTTATGCCCCAAGGGGATTAAAAATAAGACTAGTCAAGGTACAAGCTTAATATTTTCCTTCTGACCTTCCTACCCTTCACTAACCTCAGCAATCAATTATGGTTCAACTTTCTCTAACATAGAAAGAATATTCTGTATGCAAAAAGAATGTCGATTGTTATTACTTAATTCTTATTTTTTCACTTAAAAGCAGAACATTCTTCTTAGGACAGAAGAAGTAAGACTGATATGATCAAAGGTATTGTATGGATCTAGAGTCACTCAAATAGTAGGAAGCACTGACAAGGTTACAGACTAAGATTTCATTTAGTTCTGATAATAGTTTCATACCCTCAACCTAGATTTTCCATCATTGATAGCCCTCTGTGTAGCTTTTAGCACATCATCATAGAAATATTTCCTGATATCTCGAGAATGGGGAATGTTATTTAGTCTAGTAGGAATTCCTCTCCACTTATCCTGTAAAAAGCTAAAGCAAAATAAGAAACAATATACAAAAGACTCTTTCATAGTGCTTAAAGGAGGAAAAATATACAAAATAAAGAAACCAATGCCTTTTAGGCTTTTACAAAGTACAACCATCTCTACCTGGCTCAAAGATGCCTTCCCCTTCTTTGTATCAAGAATCAATTTTTCTGAATAAAAAGCAATTAGTAAATGAACTAACAAAATAAGAATTATTCGAGCTTATTGTATATCAACCCCGCATGTAAAGACCCTAAAATGTAATCAGCATCTCATTCAGAAACAAATGTGTACTCTTATATCATAACAAAACTGAATAACAGAAGCAAGTAGTAATCTACATATAATAATAAACTGATTTATTAAATACAATGTCAAGATTGAGACTGGAGCACACTTCCACATAAGTTGATGAAAGATATTCCTCCTGAATATAATTTGCAATTACCTACAAATATATCACATGTGAAGTTTGACATATACTTTTGAATCTTCATACCTCCTGCTTTTGTTACATACCTCCTGATTTCGTTATTTTAACTTTATCCTGATGCAATTGTGATAGCAAAGACTCAATTTCTTTGAAAACTATTTCTTTTGAACGGCTGCCATCAATCTGTGCATACGCCAAATAAGTTAAAAAGTGAGAGAATACCCCACTGATTTACATTAATGACTTAAGACAGATAAGAATGTTAACAATATTCAATGACCTTATTTGTGATTTTTGTGTAAGAGGAAGATATTGCTTCTGCATTTTGCTTATATATGTTTAGGCGTGATTTAACCTGAAAAGAATCGGATAAGTATACTAAGAAACATCATAAGGATACCAGATTCAGTTAACTGTTAACAAGAAAAAGTAATTTTAAACAACAATGCAATAACAAGCTCAATAAATCATGTTCTTTCTTTAAGATGAACTTAATGACTACATTTTCTGCTTCCAAACTAAGCATTAAAAATAAAAAATGTTAATTCAGTGTAACATAGCAGAAATGAAGCACAAACATGCACAAATGAGACACACATAAAAATAGAGAAAGTGATCCAAAATAAAAACAAAAATCAAGATGCTTAGATCATGATACTGCAAGCTCATGAAGACATTTATGCGTATTTAAAAACTACACACACTGTTCCTTTAGAACTCCTCCCTTTCCAACTCCAATGATAAAATACCTGTTTGAATAACTTTAGATCCTGAATGCTATTACTAGAGAAGGAAATTGGTAATGGAAATGGTTTATCCCCACCAATTTGCTGCTATATTGAGAAAAAGAAACAAAGTCTCAAAAAATTGAAAGTATATGCAGCATGCATTAAACAGTTCATGCATATGAATGACAGCATCCTTATAATGCAATATTGAAGACCAATACAACATGCTTTCTCATTTCGTTTTAAAATACCAACGTAAAATATGACAACTAAGATCTTTAAATTCTAATAAATATTGTGAACAAACTTGTCATGCAACAAAATCTATAGGACATTCATGGAAACAAGTATTCAAGATATTATTTCAAGCTGAGTCCATCCCTTCCTGGTTGCAACGAGCACACGTAAAGCATAAATTTTTCAGATGATACAGCCCAGGTGATATACCCACAAAGACAGCAAAAAAGACAAAAGAAAAAAGCAGGAGTATAATTTATTATACTTTGTCTTCAGTGTCATCGGGACGAGTTACCAGCCTTGCTTTAATTTCTTCAGTTTCAGGTGGAAAAAATTTTAGATGATATATCTTCCCTGTCACTGGATCTAGCCTTCTACCAACACATCTATCGATCAGAATTTCATCAGGAACCTGAGTATTAGAAAATTAAAAAACTTGGCAAGGAAGAAGAAACTATTTATTGCTGATTAGCATCTATACATTGCATATGTAACTCCAGGCAATCAAAATTACATGTAATATGTCAATATGACAGTACCACCAAGTCCTTATGACTATTATAAATAATATAGCAACTTGTTGTATAAAGTTATGAATTTTCTTTAAGACTAAACATTCTAAAAACCTGTTAATGTATTCCGGAACTTAAGATAAATATAAGTAACGTACAAAATAGGTTACATTTGTAGGAACCATGTGAAACTTCCACTGAAAAAAAAAGGGGAGGGGGGGGGGGGGGGGGCCAGGGGCAAAGAACTGCCTGAGCTTAAAAAAATTGCACATTTTGCAGAAGAGGTTTGCAAAGGGAAAAAAAAGCAGCTTGTTTCAATCATCTAAGTGTCGTTTGCAAAAAACCATAGGAAACCTCTGGTACACAGGGCTCCCTGACTTGTAAGGAGAGGGATAAGGGTCGATTGTATAAAGTCTTACCCTTGCAATTTTTACAAAGAGACTATTTCCTAAACTTGAACCACTGACCTTCCGATCGCAAGGAGCAACCATATCGCTGCTCCAAGGCTCGCCCTCAAAGAACCATAGCAAACCAACATCAGAAAAAGATAATTCAGTGGGATGGCAGTACCAAATGACATACATCTAATACAATATACACATCAGGTCGTATCTGCATTTGCTCAAGACTCTGAGCTTGGGCCAAACTCCGAGGGTAACCATCAAGAAGCCACCCGTTTTGCTTTGCATCTTCAAGAGACAATCGCGCTGCCACCATCTACAAAGATGAAATAAACAAAGCATGCATTTCAGCATACGAAAATGGAGTAAGAACAAACTCCTTAAGTGTGCAAATTTCGACAATACAGCAGTCACTATTTCGTCAGGAACTAAGCGACCAGCATTCATGAACTCCTTTGCTTTATTTCCAATTTCTGTCCCAGCAGCTACTTCTGCCCTTAGCAGATCCCCAGTTGATATGTGCACCAATCCAAACTACAGAACAAACACAACATGAGCAGGTCTAAAGTATATATTTCAATAATGAACATTAAGGGTTGCTATGACACTTTTATGCGTGCAAGTGAGTAACTCTTAGTTAGGCAATACTGGTTGGAAATTTTAATGAGTGATTAAGTCCATTGGTCAATGATGGGTTAAGTGAAAATCATATAAATAAAAAATATCCATATACTCACTACCTAAAGATTTTGGGTCAAGATATGGTGTCAAATTCGCTTTTCTGGTTTGTTGCTTAACCCATTCAGAGGTCTCATCTACTTTGAGCTCCCTCTACCTGCCTAACATTGCCTACCTAAGAATTATTGTACAAAGGTGAGTTGTTAAACGCAGTATTCACTGCTGGTTGTACAATAAAAGTAACCAACAATTAATCAAGAATACAAGGTAAAAGAAGGAAAAGCTTAGTTTGTAGAAGCTGGGGGCGTGCAGCGAAGGGAGTAAGGTTCGATTCTTCCCAATTTCCCTTCCTCTATTCCCCACCCCTTACCAGGTCTCATATAGGGGCCTCACTAGAAGTTCCTAAAAGTATTATTCTCCATCCCAATTTTCCTTCCCTATCCCCCACCCTCTCTCCCAATCCCACTAGGGGCTCTTAATATAAATCATTAATTTGTCTTCACCTTACAGTTTAAACTTTTGATATAATTACTTTGTTGCATGATACAGAGCCTCTACGACCAAGTGATCTACCTCCTTCTAATAAAAAGTTAAACTTCAACACAAATGGATTTGTGCATTGTTCATGCTACTCTTGCACGAGTTAGCGTTTTAAACATGATAGAAAGATAAATTTAACAACGGGGGTGGCAGTGACAAGTGACAAGGGGGGGATGGCATGGAGAAACGAACCTTGTGGACAATCAATTCACATTGGGTTCCTTTGCCCGATGCAGGTGCACCTGATATCATGACCTTTAATGGTTCGCCTGTGGAACAATTCACTTTGAGTGCCTTATCAAAATTCAAAACAAACCAGCAAGCATGTGTAAGCAACACCCCAATCATCCATCACTATAAGAAAACGTGCAATACATAAATCCCTACTTTGGGTCTTAACGGGAAATGAGTATGGTCACGGAGGTTGCTTAAGCGAAGATGTTGAGTCTGGAAGGAGAAATGGTGGTGAAGTAGACATGGATGATGGTAAGAAGAAGTTGAAGAGGAAAGAGAAGGAGATAGAAGAGAAGGAGATGAAGGGAGAGTGGTGGAGTGGAAGGAGGAGGAGAGTGTGGAGTGCAACATTGTTGCTTTGAGTGAATGAATGAATGAGCCAAGCAGAACCAGTGGCTTTGAGTTGAGTGGTTCACACTAACACACACACCAACCACAAGCTAAAAAAGGCCACTGCTGCTTTCATTCATACAATTTCTCTCCCAGCTACTCTATTTTATTTTGTTTTGTTTTTTTTGTCAAAATAAATATTATTCTATTTTAATCAGCTACCAGTTTTGGCCTGTCATGTTTTTATGCCTCAAAATTTATGACGACTTGTGAAAGTGTATTTAGCAGCGTAAAAATGATGTTTTCTTAATTCCCTTTGAATTAGAAAGAAAAAATAAAATTGTCCTTTTTCTCAAATAAATTTATGTGATTCTTTATAATTTGTTTAATTTGAACTTTGTTTCTCTGCGCAATCCAAATATAGACAGTAAGGGAGAAAATGTTTGTACTTTTAACTGATATAATTTTGTGTCATTTTAGATCTTAACCGTTGATTTTCGTCAATCAACAATTAGGAATTATTGAATTTTATTACAAATTATTAATTAATTAATAAATTTTTATTACGAATTACTAATTAATTAATAAATTTGACCCAATAAATCCTAACCGTTAATTGATGGAAATCAACGGTTAGAATCTAAAATGACATAAAGTTATATCTTTTAAAAGTATACATATTTTTCCCCTTAAAGAAAATGAAAAATATTAAACTGTTTCCTTTTATTTCTTTTGTAGATTGGATTTTCAGACTTTATTTGCTTTTTCCTTTTAATTATTTGATAATTAATATCCTAAATTTTGCTCTTGCGTGTAAAATCATAAAATATATCTGAAAAATGATAAAAACAAATTCACGATACAAATATTCCAAAATTAGTTAAATTATTTTACTTTTATAAAACAGTTCATTAAAATGGTAATCAAATGTTACTAAATTATTTTGTTTCGTTGATAAGACAAAAAGTAGTAATTATTTTTGTCCGACAAAGTAGGGATATCACTTGTGAACTATATTTGGTATATCACTTGAAACATAACACAATGTATTTATCAAACCTAAAAAAGGATATTATTATTATAAGGAAAAAGTTATACTTATAATATATTTTCTCTTATAACCTTTTATAAATTATTTTTTTTATCATTGGATCAAAATCAAATCAACATTACAAAATAACATTAAATAAGAACCGTTGATTTAATTTTGATCCAACAAGAAAAAAAATGATCATAAGAAATTATAAGAAGAAATAAGTTATAAGTATAACCTCCATTGTATTACAACTGATGAAATTATTAAAACATTTGAATTAATTAGACAATGTAATCTATTAAAAAACAAAATAGTTCAAAAAACTACCCATAGATACATTGACTACATGAAAATTAGAGTTTTATTTTACTTTATTTTATTTTTCAGTGCTAGTACTGAGCAGGCATTCATCAAAATAAGTTCAAACTTTCAGTTATGGTAAATTTGCCACCCACAGGTGCAGTTAAACAAAAGAAGTGAGCCAATAATGGTGCTGAACCACAAACCATGACTATGATATCAACAAGGTTTATCATGTGATAAGAATATTTCGCATGACAGGTCCACCAGTGCAGAGAGATCTCCCCAACGTGTTAAATGCAGCTTGTTACTTGTAATCACTCTTCATAATATTAAAAAAAAAAAATTCTCATTAGGAAGCTGCCCATAAGAGCTGGCCGAAAAACAATTATAACCAAAAAATGCAACTACTACAAATATCGTGTATAAAACAACCTTTATTTTTTGGGACCCGAGGGTTTTGTCTTGGTCCTCTTAGAACAAAGTAGCTTTGTGAAACAAGTTAAATGGTAATTAAAAGGCAGATCAACCGTATGAATAAAATGAATTTGTAATTTTTGCGGGTGAGGCTATAAAGATCTGAATTACATTCCCCAACATCAACCATTTTAACTACAAACAATAGTGTATGCTTCTGAATGCCAAAGAAACTTAGTATCAATTATTAATTATAACATGCAACGAATTTATATCTCACAATGAGTTGAGTAAAACTGGACAAAATCTATGTAATAAAATTTACTACGTTCCCTAACATAATAAACTGAAATATACTAAGATATATATTGAACATTTCCTCTTGATAAAAACTGTTCCCTGTAGAGCTAATTTTTTAGCTGTATCAAGTCTTCAATCCAACTTGACAGAAGAGAACAAGTAATGCACGAACCAGAATGAAGAGAGGAACCCAACTGTACCAGTAGACAGCATGATCGCTAGAACCATGAAGAGTGAGTATCCCAAGTAAAGAGTTGCAGATACAGGACCACTCAAACTCTTGAGATCAAATACAAGATAGTTTATGGAGTACAAAAAGATGTATATGGCAACAGAACCTGAGGCAAAGAAAGATTTCCACCACCATTTCCAATCCTCCACACAAAGGTGCATGTAGGTTAGAACTAGAGATACCTCGGCACAAACCACCACAAGAAGGATCAAAACAATGAAGAGAAACCCAAAGACGTAGTAAACACGACCCATCCAAATGCTGGACATGATAAAGAAGAGCTCAATGAAAAGGGTACCAAATGGAAGTGTGCCAGCACCCAGAACTAACAGCCATGATGGGTACTTCTGGTGGGGAATTTCTCGCGGAATTTGATTGGTTCGAACTGGATACTCAATGTGAGGTGCCTTAGCTCCAAAGCAACCACCAACAAGGGTAAGAGGTACTGAAATGCAGAACCAAAGCAATATTAGTATTACAAAGAGCGAAAATGGAATGGCTCCTGTGCTGTGGCTTCCCCACAATAGGAAGTTCAAGGTTGTAAGGATCAAAAAGGAAATGCCGGGAAAGAAACATGCAGCCTTCCACGCGACCGAAACCCAACCCTTCTGATCACCACAACCAATTGTCCTCCATAACCGAACAGCAACATAACCAGCAGCAATACCAAGTATCATATAGAAAAACAGCATGCCTGTGATAAGTGTTCCGCGAGAGGCTGGTGACATGAATCCAAGTGCAGCAAACAATATTGTAACAACAGACATCCCAAGAATCTGAACCCCATCCCCAACCATTACACACAACAAAGCAGGATTCGATGGAGCGCGGAAAACATCTCCTACAACAAGCTTCCAACCAGATAACTCTTCATTCATCTGTGCTTGAGCCTCCTTATCAAGCTCCTCATAACGGGTCAGATCCCTCCTAACAGTCCTCAGGAAGATCACAAGAACAATACCAGCGAGAAAAGTGATTACCATAAGTGAATTAAGGATAGAGAACCAATGTACTTTAGCTCCCTCCATCTTTAAGTATGCATCCCATCTAGATGGCCATTTGATGTCACTCTCCTCAAAGGTGACCTCATAGGTGAAAACAACCGGCTGCCCTTCTTTGATAGGCATTGCCACAGTGGACGGATCGCATTTGATCGGTGATGGATATTTGTCATACATCTTCAAATTTTTCACAGAATCAGCATTATGCATAATACTGCAAGGAACAACCTCAAACCCAACAACCATGTATCCAGGCTTATCAGAAGATCCCTCCTTGCCAATTGGGATCACTTCTGCACCATCACCGGTCCCCATAACACGAGCCACATTGGTCTCCTCATACTTATGGATGAGAACATTGAACTTGAGATGGTTAAACAGATAATACACATCCTGAATCTTAATACCAACAGGGTACCCTGTCCATCTTAAAAAGTACCCCTCTTTCTGAGTGAACCTAATAGCAGGTAAATTATCAAGTATCAAATTAACCTGATACATCTCATCAATCCTCTCCTTCAAGATCTTGAACTGATCCCCGGACAACGATTCGACCCGGCACAAGAACATCTCAGACTCATTGGTGTACATCCTAAACCTGTAAGGTGAATTCTCTATCCTATCCCCCATGAGAAGCTCCCCGAGATTCTCAGCACTGTCCTTGACACCACCCTCAGGCTTGCAAAAAGGTAAACTGTAATAGCTAAAGGGCATCTCTGTGTCAATGGAAGTAAGGGAATTCACCTTCACCCACAACTCATCCGTTACATCATGCTTGTGGGGATAACTCCCCGGAAGGTAGAACCCATAACCGGATTGAATTTGAAATATCAAGCAGAAAACCAAGACCCACAACCCAAATTGGTCACAAGATTCCATCTTTGGAAGATTCATGAGGAATTCGTGTCAGATCTGAAATACCCAGATACGGAAATGAGTGAAAATAATCAGATAAAAAGAAAAAGAAAACTCTTAACAAATGTATGCTTTTCTGGTTTCAGATTCAGAGAGATGCAAAGGCTAGATAAAAACTACTTCACAAAACAGAAAAGAAGCAAAGAAAAAGTGTTTTCTTTTATTTAATTTCACTGACCTGACCTCATGCAAAGGAGACGCGAGTGAGAATTGAGTTTGAGCTCACGAAAGGAGTGAGATCTTCTTCAACCTTCGATAGCACATACATGCATATTATGTATGTGTGTGTATATATAGATACATGGTTGGTTTTGATTTTGTTTCAGTTTCTTTAGGAGCTGATTACTGCGCTGCCGGAGAGTTAATGAAATGACAGAAATACCCTTATATTGCTTAAATGTATTAGTCACGGACAAACCAATGTTATAAAAATCGACCGACGGGCGATTTACTCTTAAACCGCATCCTCAATCAGTTTGATTTAAGTATTATATCGATTATTTATTTGATTTGATATAAAATTAGTAAATCAGTTCTCAACCAAGTTCAATCAGTGTTAAATCCACACCGATTTTTTTTTTAAAAAATATTATATATGGAATTTTGGATAAAATACTTTAAAAATACCACCAATAGAATTTAAATTTAAACCATATGTAAGTTATAATTTATAATACTTATAACTAAATCAACTTTATTTATTAGTTATAATTCTTATAATTTTATATTTATTATATATATATATATTTAATTCAAATAATTAAATCAATGACCCATTAATTAAATCGGTGATCTTTTAATTCTATATTCCAATTGACTAATTCGAGTTTTACGCTAACCCACCAACCAAGTCTCTTAACATTCCTCCCATAAATATTTAGAGTTGTGTTATACTTAGAGGTGGCAAAGTGGGTGGCCCGCCCCGCCATCAACCAGTCAAAAAATGAGTCACCCCGCTCTCATCTCGTTCCGCTTTTGAAAGTCGGCTGAAAAACTCAACTTGCCCTGCCCCGTTTGGCGGGTTGGGTAGGTTGGCCCACCAGGCCGAACCTATTTTACACTGACCTGCCTCGGTTCGCCTATGCTCGCCATCAATCCGCCAAAAAATGAGCCCGCCCCGCTTTTGAGATGAGTTGAAAAACTCAGCCACCCTGCCTCGTTTGGCGGGTTGGATGGATTGACCCGCCGAGCCGAGCCCGTTTTGCCGGCTCTAGTTACACCTTCACCAACACCGATGCCAACCTAAACTTATTTTGATTGTATGTGTAATGAATTTTATCTTTAAATTTTTCATTTGTGAAACCATTGTTGGCTTATGTGAGAGGTAGAGCTGGCAAAATGGGTCGAGCCCGCCAGGCCGGCCCGCCCTGCCCGCCAAACGGGGCGGGGCAGACTGATTTTTTCAAACCCGCTGCCCGCCAGCCCGCCCGGGCTAATTTTTTTTTTTTAATTTTTAGTGTAAAATGTCACGGGCTTGGCAGGCTAAGATATCTAGCCCACCTTCAAAGGCGGGGCGGGGCGGGCAGCCCGCTTTGCTACCTCTAGTGAGAGGTGTATATATATATATATATAAATATATGACTTTACTTCTCTGGGAAGTTATCTTATGTTGTGAGATAAATAAAGTGGGGCCCATCAATTTTTAAAAAAAGAAGAAAAAGAAAGGCACATCTTTTTGTGTTAGTGTAACATGAGAGATGAATCTCATATAACATAAGAGTATAATTTTCTATATATATATATATATATATATATATATATATATATATATATATGGATCCTTTGACACCAGTGTCAAATTTTAAATTTGACACCTCATCTGAGAGCCGTTAGATTAAAAAAGATCAACGACTCTGACTTGTAAGCATGTGACACCGATGATCGTTTTTAATCTAACGGCTCTCAGATGAGGTGTCAAATTTGAAATTTGACACTGGTGTCAAAGGATCCTACCACATATAGAGGAATGTTATATATACAAAAAAAAAAAATTACAAACTCTTACAAACTACACTGAGTATGACCGGTCATACTTCAATCAAAAATGTATGACCAATCATACTTAGTGTAATTTGTAATAAAAGTTTGTAAACGAATTCTTCTCCATATATATATATATATATATATATATATATATAATTTAAAAAAAATGGTATTTTAGTCGGGAAAATATTAATAATATTGTTGTTGGGATGGTGGAAGAGCAAGTGAGGCATCTGTCTACTTAAAATTATTAAGAGTAAAATCTCTTTTGGATTCCTATCAAAAAACATAGTTTCCACTTTCGTTCATTAAAAAAAAGGGTAGGATATTGTAACAACCAAGTAGGGTTACTACCAATTAATCTCACCGTTAGATTGGATTTTTGATCTGACGATCCTGATTTGATCCTTATATAGCCCTCATTCTTCCCTTCTCTCCCCTCATTCTCTCTCTGACTATACTCTCTTCCGCTGCCGCTGCTCATAGCCGACGTCGCGCTGCTGCACTCTATCGCCTCGCCGTCGCCGTTAATCCCTCTGAGTTGTGCGCCCATCTCCCAACTGTAATTATTAAGTTATTAACAATCAATGGATGGCGTATAGTAGGATAGATTAGAACGAGGCAATTGATAATTAATAAATAGAACAAAGCATCACCGGAAGCAAAAGCAGATCATGAAAAAAGTATATATAAGCCGCTGGGCACATCGTATACTCAACTCGTGGGCATATTCCATGACGATTCATCGACAGTAAACAAGCCATGACTCTAACTTTGAACAAGAAAGTATGCTGATATATATTATATAGTCAAATTTCTTAGAAGTTTGGGGTTGGTAATGTTGTTCTTATGTCCAATTCCATGTTTTGCCCCTTAATAGAGTGACTATAGACCTGATGAGTGACCTGATGGTGGCGGCGCGAGAGAGAATATAGTCAGAGAGAGAATGGAAGAGAGACAAAGGGAAGAGAGACAAGGGAGGAGAGAGGACTATATAAGGATTAAATCAGGACCGTCCGATCAAAAACTCAATCTGACGGTGAGATTGATTGGTAGTAACATTGGTAGTAACCCTACTTGGTTGTTACAATATCCTACCCCTAAAAAAAATTCATATTAGTCTTTTTTAGGGATTAAATTATATCTTTATTGAATTTATGAGGGACCATATTTTCAAAAAACTAAAATTTTACATGGACCAAAATTTGACTTTTTTTTGTAAAGGACGAAAGTGGAAACCGTATTTTTTGTTAGGGACACAAAAGAGACTTTACTCAATCATTAACAAAAAATCATAGATCATATTTAAATTTAGAATGAAAGTAATAGGATTTGTTTTTTTTATGTTTAGGAGATAAAAATTATTTCCTACAAATACATAAAAGTGTATGGGGCGGCCCATGAGGAGTCATGTGAAGAGAAGAGAGAAAAAAATAGACCCTATATACTTTTTTTTTTGTAAACAAAGAGAGGCAAAACCCCAGAAAACACAAGAAAAATCAAGGAACAGAGGCCAAAGCCCTAAAGTTGGAAGAATCCTCTAAAAGGAGCTCCCTAAGATGAGGAAGGGGATAAGAGAAAACAAAGAAGTTACTATCTCCTTCATAAGGATTAGTAGCAATCCAATGAGCACAACCATTATTCTCCCTCCTAGTATGCTTACATCTGACAGTCCAATCTTGAAGAAGTCAACTCTTTATCTGCTCAGCAATATAATAGATAATTTTATCTCTTACAATATAAGAGATATTAAACCCAAAGTAAAATAACATAAATTTGCCGCTTTAACTACAATTTTCGAAGTTTCATTCTTATTAATTTTTATACACATGAAAATTTTGGAAAGTTTTTAAAATTTGTCTATATATAGACTGTTAGAATATTATCTTCCCTAGATAGTATGAATTTTTTTTTTACCCCACAGAATTTCCTGAATATGCAAGCTAGAATTGCCGGAGAAAGGACTGGTGTACTTCCATTTCTCATGTTCATAGGGAGGGGAATGGTGTTGTACACATTTTGGCTTCTCTAGTTTCTCCCTCTGATTGAAGCCTTTCCTTGTTAGATAGTGTCCCTCCTACCTGTTTGGAGGCTATGAAAAAAGATCTTCTGGTGCTGCTTCTCCCAGGATGATCTGAGACAGCGAAGCACGAACATGCTTAGTTTTTAAAAGTTGCGTGTCGGACACCGACACGCTCCGACACCTTCCGACATGCGGTCAACATTTTAGGATATTTGGTCAACTCTCCGACACGTTCCAACACGTTTTTCCGACACGCAGTCAACTTTTTCCAACACGCGATCAACGTTCCGACATGCATCCGTCACCTTTTTTTTTAAAGCTAAATTTTATTTTATTAACTAAACATGAAAAAATAATTTCTAAACCAATTTTTTCCTGTTATGAAATTTGACATGAAAAATTAACAATGTACGAAAAATTATTTTTGTTTATATTTATGTTATAAAATTTGAAAATTTGATTGGTTATATGACTTATTATGGGTTGTTATATGTATTAAATATAAATTATATTATATATATTGAAAATATTATTTAATATCAAAACGTGTCCCAACATGTCAGAATATGACATTTTTTAGAATTTACGTGTCGGCGTGTCTTGTCGTGTCACATGTCTCGTGTCACTGTCGGTGCATCATAGATCGGAGATATGTCTTCAGGCTTATCCTGATTTTGTTTGTTTGTTTATTTCCTTTATATCCAAAAAAAAATTAAATTAAATTTTGCTTACCAAAATGAAAAAAGGAAAGAAAAACTTTAATAGCTAATTAAGAAGTATAATGTGATGTTAACTGTTAAATATTCTACTAGAGCACTTGACACCTTTTTGGGCTCTTTGACTAGTTTGCTACCTTTTGCTTTTAAACTAGAGTATTATCCGTGCGATGCACGAGAAAAAAACCTGTTTGTTTGGCGTGGTTGGCCGCCCATTTTGCTACTTCTAACTATTAGCATTTTATACCAGCATGTAATAGATTTCTATATTTATTCTGTGATCATTCCAAAATACATCGCTATACTTTAGCTTGTCCTGTGGTCATTCCAAAATATATCGCTATATTTTAGCTTGTCTTGTGATCATTCAAAAATTACAAAGTTTGACTCGGCTTCTTTTAGTATTTCTCAGAGATGGACTTTTATTTATTACACTCAGATTAACAAAATAATAATAAATAATTATTTTTTGCAAGAATTTGTGTCGTTAGTATCTGAAATTTTACAAATTTATATTTACAAAAATTAAAATCAGATTTAGGAA